CTGGGAGAACTTAGTACGGAAAAGTGCCAATAGAAGTCACGTGACGATTCATTCTGACTTAGTGCAATTTTCGTGAAATTGCTTGACGCGCTTTTCGTCAACTTTCCTCGCGCGACCCTAGGCGACATTCTGAAGAGTGGAAACGATTAGGATCGTCCCCCGGGTATGTAACCCATCGGAGAATCCACGGTTAACGCGCCTAATATTATTCCAGGCCCTATTCAAGCAAAAAAAGTCGCGTTCCCTAATTAGCTCTCCGATGCGTCTCTGGAAGGTCCTAACCGCGTCTTTAATACTCAGAAACACTAGCAGCAGCTTCCCATCCCCTTTCCCATCGCTCAACTCCCTCTGTTCTGCTCCCTGGATGTCTGGAAGTGGGGGAAGGCTTGCGGAGACTCCTTCACCGCAACCGACTGCGCAGCCATCCTCTGGGCCAAATCCGGTGTTCTTATCGTCTCCAGACAAGAAGAGAGGCGGTCAGCCACTTTCATTTGGGGGCTCTAAGCAAATTATATACTCTCTTAGAAGACTTCTAGGGACTCGAATCTCACAGTCGGTTATATATAGAAAGGCTAGCGACATGGATAGTCAGATGAAAGTACCGTGCACCCTACCCGTCTGTCTAAAGGGAATAATAAATGGAAGCCCGAAGAACACAACACATATTCTCTGACCATTTGGAGTATATGCCAGGGTCTCCGGTGCAAATGGACAAGGAGGATTCGAGCAACCAGGTGAAGTGCTCAGAGAGTGATGAGTGGCTGTGGGTGGCTGTGATCTCCGGTCCGTGCCGCCGATGCTGGTCCATCTTACTGTTTCCGCAATAGGGGAAGTAGGTTTAATAAATATAGGCGAGATTCAGGCTTCTGTAATGTCCCGCAACTTTTGTGCGAGTTGGAATTAAGATTGAGGAAGTTGAAAAATTCCGCAACTCGAAAATTTCACAAAGTCAGAATGAATCATCACGTGATTTCTATTGACCAATTCCCGTACTAAGTTCTCCCAGCCTCTGCGTTCGAGTAATCCCTTACGCCTTTTTTTTTCTTCCTCAGTTTTTGTCTGTTTGATCTGAAATTCATTGTAAACTACTACACATACTGGTTACTCAACGCAGAGCTGGTTACGAGCCTAGGGGAAGAATGACTCTCAGGGCAGGCAAGTTATCGCCTTTAGCCTGTGCCCGGCTCAGAGAATTTGTTCTGATATGTCTACCTACGAAATACCGGCTTCAACACAACCACATGAATCGTAGGCCCATTGAAGGGTTATAAGTCCTGCTGGTGCGCGGTGCACGTCTGCTCTTATTTCAAATATCTCACATCCAATGATGCAGAAGGATCCCGTTCGACTCGGGAGCAGGAAATCATTCTCGATCTTCTGTTTTTGGGGGGAGAATGCCTCTCCTCCCTCACGGCAACCAGATACCAATGAATTAAGGCACAGTTAAAGAGGCGATAAGTGCTGGTGGTTCATGGTGCACGTCTGCTCTGATTCCCGTGGAATGTAATCGTCATGGAGAAGGACCCCGTTCGACCCGGGGGCGGGATATGTGTGCTTCACTCAAGCTTTTTTGGGCGGGGATGCCCGCCCCTCCCTTCACGGCACCCAGGGGCCAAACACCCACATGAATTAAGTCCTCATTGAACGTATATCAAGTGCTGCTGGTGCGCGGCACACATCTGGCCTAGTGACTGGTCATGTGAAATGGTCCCGTTCGACTCGAGGGTGGGACATGTATCTGGATTCCAGCATTTTTGGGGGTTCGGAGTTCCCCTTCACAGCACCCACAACCCAGCCGAGCAAGAGCATGATTAAGGAGGTGATAAGCCCTGCCGGTGCGCGGTGCACATCTGCTCTGATTAGGGGTTGTATTTGTTTCCAAATGTCATGCAGAAGAACCCCGCTCGATTCGAGGGCAGGACATGAGTGATTGAAATTGATATTTTGTTTTGCGGGGGGATGTCTACTCCCTGCAAGGTGGGAGGCATCAAGTGATCCTCTCCTCTGCCATCCCTGGGTCGAATAATCTAGCACACCACCAAATACTAAATCTGCGGACGGCGTGCTCCCGCCGGTTGAATACAACTCACTGAATCAAAGCACCGTTGAAGGGATACCAAGTCCTGCTAGTGCGTGACGCAGATCTGCTCCGCTTGCATAAACTCCAGATGTCATACAGAAAGATCTGTTCGACTCGGGGGTGGGTCATGCTGCTTGGCTGGGCGTCGTGAATTATTTTTGGCAGGAATGCCTTTCTTTTCGGATGGATGGACGAGGGTATCAGTGAAGGGATATCAAGTCCTGCTGGTGCGCGGTGCACATCTGGTCTGCATGAAAAATCCATGAAGTCATGCAGAAGTTCCCCGTTCGACTCGGGGGTGGGATATGTTTGGTCGGCGGTGTTGAATTCTTTTTTGCCGGGAATGCCTTCTTGTTTCGGATGGATGGATGAGGGTACCACTGAAGGGATATCAAGTCCTGCTGGTGCGCGGTGCACATCTGCTCTGCCTATGTGGCAAATACAGGTCATGCAGAAGGACCCCGTTCGACTCGGGGGTGGGACATACCTGGATGACGGTACTGAATTCTTTTTTGGCGGGAATTCCTTCCCTTTCGGATGGATGGACGAGGGTATCAGTGAAGGGATATCAAGTCCTGCTGGTGCGCGGTGCCCGTCTGCTCTCTCTGCGCTTGGTGTTACAGGTAATCATGCAGAAGTTCCCCGTTCGACTCGGGGGTGGGACGTATTCTCTTGCTTTTCTTTTATATCCCGCAAGCACATCAGAGAGAAGAGGAGATCTCGCTATGTCGAATTTGCAGTTAGTGGGTTTCAGCGGCGCGGCGTTTCACCTTCGAATCAGCGCAGTTGAATATCCCTCCACACGCCGGCCGGGGATTTCAACTGCGGGCTCCCTACGATTTGATTTAATTTGGTTTCTGTGTGTACTTAGGCCTCAAGAAGACTACATAGTACTCAGATCTGGGTTACGGAAATCCTGAGAAGCAGTGAGGCGTGGGCCAGATGAATGAGGGTACAATTAAATACCTCTCAAGTCCTGCTGGTGCGCGGCGCACATCTGCTCTGCCTATGTGGCAAATACAGGTCATGCAGAAGGACCCCGTTCGACTCGGGGGTGGGACATACCTGGATGACGGTACTGAATTCTTTTTTGGCGGGAATTCCTTCCCTTTCGGATGGATGGACGAGGGTATCAGTGAAGGGATATCAAGTCCTGCTGGTGCGCGGTGCACGTCTGCTCTCTCTGCGTTTGGTGTTGCAGGTAATCATGCAGAAGTTCCCCGTTCGAATCCGGGGTGGGACCTATTCGACATGCTTTTCTTTTATATCGCGCAAGCACATCAGAGAGAAGAGGAGATCTCGCTATGTCGAATTTGCAGTGAGTGGGTTTCAACGGCGCGGCGTTTCACCTTCGAATCAGCGCAGTTGAATATCCCTCCACACGCCGGCCGGGGACTTCAACTGCGGGCTGCGCACGATTTGATTTGATTTGGTTTGGTTTCTGTGTGTACTTAGGCCTCAAGAAGACTACAAAGTACTCAGATCTAGGCCACGGAAATCCTGAGAAGCAGTGAGGCGTGGGCCAGATGAATGAGGGTACAATTAGATACCTCTAAAGTCCTGCTGGTGCGCGACGCACATCTGCTCTGCCTACATGAATCGTCCAGGAGTCATGCAGAAGCTCCCCGTTCGACTCGGGGGTGGGACATTATTTCGCCCCGACTCAATTTCTTTTTCGGGCGGAATGTCCCGAGTTCCTTCACGGCTGCCAGACAAGACACCCAGATGAACAAACGCCCCTTTCAATGTATAACAAGTCCTGTTGGTGCGCGGTGCACGTCTGCTCTGATTATCGATTGTATCGTTCGCAAATGTCATGCAGAAGGACTCTGTTCGACTCGGGGGCAGGAGATTTGGTTAGTGAGGTGTTTCTTCTTTTTGTGGCGGAGGTTAACCTCCTTAACGCAAGCATCGAGATGTGAAAATTTTATACTGCGGCCGAACCATGGGTTTGTTCTCGCACGCCGAAGCTTCTACTGAGCGAATAAATCCTGGTATTATGCATCCTGTCGGCGTAGTACAACGGACGCGTAGATTCCCGACCCACGGCATTTAATCCTTTCTGGGTTCTCAAGCTGAATAGTCTCCGCTCCTGGATGTCCTGAATATTTGATGATCTGTCTTCATCCAATATTCTGCGGAAGGGATACTGGTTGAATATAATCAGATGGCTTAAAGTCCTGCCGGTGCGCGGTGCACGTCTGCCCTAGTACATAACGGAAACCGGACTCATGCAGAAGGACTCCGTTCGAGTCGGGGGTGGGTCATAATTTGTCTTCGTCTCTGGCATTTTTAATCTCCTTCTTGACGGCGGCCAGACAACCCAAATGAATGAGGTGGTGAGTCCTGCTGGTGCGTGTGCTCTGATTAGTGATTGAACCATGTCCAAATGTCACGCAGAAGAACCCGTTCGACTCGGGTGGGACATGACTCCCAACCCTTTTTTTTGGGCGACATTTCACTCCATTCACAGCCAGGGTCCAGGGCCCAGACTCCAGAGTCAGACACCCAGATGAATTAGAGCACAATTACAGGGATATAAAGTCCGGCTGGTGCGCGGTGCACGTCTGCTTGCTCTGCATTGGGCATTAACTTTCCATGCGGAAGGACCCCGTTCGACTCGGGGGCGGGACATTTCTGGGCACGTTGCATGTTTTTTTAAAAGAGGCGTGTCCCTTGCTTTACGCCAGCCAGACAACCCAAATGAACGAGGGCACAATCAATGAGGTGATAAGTCCTGCCGGTGCGCGGTGCATATCTGCCCTCATTTCATAGCACCTCCGCAAGTTATGCAGAAGCCCCGTTCGATTCGGGGGTGGGACATCGAACATTTCTTACTCTACTTTTTCGGGGGGTACGTATGTCCTCCTTTCACAGCAGCCCAACCAGCTAAATCAAGGTAGGGTTGGAGGGATATGCAGTCCTGCTGGTGCGCGGTGCACATCTGCCCTCATTTCGTATATCCCCCGCACCCAGTGATGCAGAAGGACCCCGTTCGACTCGGGGGCAGGACATGTTTTTACTCGTTTCCCACCTTTTTAAAAAAAAATTGATTTTGGCGGGGCACCTAAACTGTACATTTGCCGAGCAGGGTTGAAAATCCCGTTGACGTAGTTTGGACGTAGTAGGACGTAGTACATTTAGATTTCGGCCCCACAAGTGTTTCAAGGCAACCGGATGAATCATACATACAGGTGTAATTGTGGTGATTCGCCGGATCCGGGCGGCGTTTCACTTCAAAATCACGTTCAGTTGAATATCCCTGCAGGGTTTCCACATTTAATTTGATTTGGGTTGTTGGTATGTACTTACCCCGGCCCCGACTCTCGGCTACGGAAATTCTGAGAAGCAGGGATGCATAGATCGGCTAGACGTCGAAAAGACATGATTCATGAAGACCAGCGACAAGTATCCGTACATTAATGTTTAATTTCCGCGGCCGATGGTGGCGCGCTGATCCCGAGGCCGCGGGATCGTCGGCCATGGTGTGTCCGGGTCCGTGTCAATCGAGGACAGTTAGGTCATCGCCATGGGAGCACTGGCAGTGGCGGCGGACTCACCCTGACACGTGTGCGCACGTGTTAGTTGCAGTCCAAGTTGGAGTAGATTAATTTGCGCACCTGAATCGATAGGCATCGATAAGTTTGGCGTGCAAAGCAATTGGCGTGCCTGGTGCAAGGGTGAAACGGCAACGTCATGTGCACCCAGCGGGATGTCTTGAACGCGGACGCAGATCGACCGATGCGGCGCATCATGATGTGCCTGATGCACGGATTTTCACAATCCGCAGTTAACACGGATATTCTCTCTTCCTTTCCGACGTCCCTTCATCCCTGCAAGGCACCTGCATTCCAGCGTTCGTGTCCAAAACTACATAGCCACCCCACCCGCTACATCGCTTCGCTTCCAGCAAATCTCCGCGTTTTCTTGTACTTCATCCTCTCCGATTCGAATCCCTTCGTTCTCAGCTGCTCACACGACCAGTACCTCCAATGGCGTCCACCTCGAACGCAACCCCTTATTCCCGCCCGATGCTCCCCGGCATCCACGAGATGTTCCCCGACCACCTCCCGCCGCTGCCTTCGAATTCCCGCCCCCGTGCACGTGCCCATGCCGGCCCCGCCTCGCGCAGCCCTCTGATCCCCACGCCCCCCGCATTGTCCGCGCACAGCGTCTCCTTCGACGTCCTCAAAAGCCACCCGCGCGCCACCTCGCTGCTGCACATCGCCTCCTCCCGCATGCCTGCACACCCCGCGCCGTCTTCTTCCTGCTCGTCCGACGGCGACGCCGATGCCGAGGGGGAAATGGAGGACCCCGAGGAGGGCGAGGGCGAAGGGTTGGGGAGGAAACACGTCTGCGGCACGTGCGGCAAGCGCTTCAACCGCCCCAGCAGCCTGCGCATCCACGCCAACACCCACACCGGCGCTACGCGTGCGTATCTCTACTATTTGATTCGAGGAGCCGTTCTCTTCAATTTCTCTCCCTTTCCTTCATTTCTCTCTCGTTCTTTGACGGAGGAGAACTGCTCTCTTCTCTCCCGTCCCTCCACTTCTCTTCCTTCTTCTTCTTGCATTCCTCTCCCCTTCCTCCCACCACTTCTCTCCCCGTTCTCCCCTCCCTCCATTCCTCCCCTCCCTCCCCTTCTTTCCACCCTTCCTTGATTTCTCTCCCTCCTTCGATTTCTCTCCTTCCTTCGATTTCTCTCCCTCCTTCGATTTCTCTCCCTCCTTCGATTTCTCTCCCTCCTTCGATTTCTCTCCCTCCTTCGATTTCTCTCCCTCCTTCGATTTCTCTCCCTCCTTCGATTTCTCTCCCCGTCCTCCCTTTCCTTCCTCCACCCTTCCTTGTTTTCTCTCCTCGTCCTTCCTTCCCTTCCTTGATTTCTCTCCCTCCCTCGATTTCTCTCCTCGTCCTTCCTTCCCTTCCCTTCTTTCCATCCTTCCTCGATTTTTATGCATTCCTCCTACTCTTCCTCCCCTCGCTCCTCCCCTCCCCCTTCCTTCCCTCCTTCCTCTCAATACACGGCGCTTTAACTAACCCCCAACCCCAGCCTTCAAATGCCCCTACCCCTCCTGCGGCCGCGCCTTCAACGTCAACTCAAACATGCGCCGCCACTACCGCAACCACGGCTCCCCCGCCTTCACGCCGCTCCCCCCCGCGCCCGTGCCCGCGCAGTACCCCGCGACGTCGTACTTGCCCCTATCCTTATCACCTGCGCCGTATTCGCCGTCATCGCCTGCGGGGTACTCGCCGTACTCACCTGCCTCCAGCGCATACTCGCCCTCGTCGCCGGCGTCCTATTCGCCGTACGCGGCGTACTCCCCCGCCTCCAGCGCCTCCTACTCGCCAGCGCCCCGCTCCGCCTCCTCTGCGTCCTCGCCCGCGTACCACTACGCCCCCGCCCACGCATCCGCGTCGCCGGCGTACCCCTACGCCCCGTCCCCGCACCCGCGCGCGTACAGCGACGTGCGCTCCGAGTCCGAGTACGCGCATCAGTACCGATAGCGCCCGCTACACACCGCGCTGGCGTTCTCGCGCACAACCTCCCGCACTACCGGCGCCTCCCAGGTCCCAGGTCGCATACACGTAGACCACCCGGAGCCGCCGCTATCTAACCTTAACCCACCCGCAACCCACCATAATACACCCACCAACGACCCTACCCGCCCGCCCGCCGCCGGCCGGTGTCCCTCTTGTATCCCTGCCTCGTACTCGTACTCGCTGTATCCGTATCTTATCCTACCATATCCTACCCTACCGTATCCTTCCTATCGTATGTAGACAATTATGGACTTTAATCGCACTTGATCGTGATGTTGTGCTTGCACTTGGCATTGACATCGGCATTTGGGGGGTGGGAGAGGGTCGCGTGGGAGGCCTCGTGTTGTGCTTACCCTCGCAGCGCGCATCACCCGCAACACAAAGGCACGTCCAGGTGATATCGAGTCCCGCTGGTGTGCGGCACACACCTGCATCCAGTAGGCGTTCGCTAAAACAGGTTCTGCAGGGGACCCGGTTCGACTCCGGGGCGGGACGTTAAGCAAAATAGCCGTCGCTTTTTGGCATTTTCCTCAGCGGGGAAATAGGGGAGTGAACCGCCCGTCACACCGCGATGGACCGGCTCCTTTGACCCCGTGTCGCGATTCCGCCCACAGCACAGGTAGGTTCGAGGGATAATGAGTCCCGCTGGTGTGCGGCACACACTTGCATCTAGTCGAGAGTGCTTCAAGAATGTCAGTTTGGGCAGGGGACCCGGTTCGACTCCGGGGCGGGACGTGTGAGAGGAATGGACTATTTTTGGCGTTCCCGGCATTTTGTGGGGGAATTGAACTTCAACACAGAGGTAGGTTCGAGGGATAATGGGTCCCGTTAGTGTGCGGCACACACCTGCATCTAGTTGAGAAAGGGAAATGAGTTTGTGCAAGAGGACCCGGTTCGACTCCGGGGCGGGACGCTGAAGGGGACGCCAGTTTTCTTGGCCTTCCTATCGGGATTGAGCTTCAACACAGAGGTATGTTCAAGGGATACTAAGTCCCGTTAGTGTGCGGCACACACCTGCATCTCGGAGCTGGGAGCAACGGAAGTTTGTGTAGGGGACCCGGTTCGACTCCGGGGCGGGACGTTGAAGGGGACGCCACTTTTTTTGGCCTTCCTAACGGGATTGAGCTTCAACACAGGGTACGCCCAACTGATATAAAGTCCCGCTGGGGTGTGGCACACACCTGCATCCAGTCAATGAGAGTTGAGCCATTTCTGCAGGGGACCAGGGGCGGGACGTTGCAAGAGAGGACATAGTCTCTCGTAGACAGACGCTTCAACACGAAGCTCGTACCTCACTTGTTGAAGAGAGGACAGTGCTTGTTTTTTTAGGTGTACCCTGGATTTTCTAAAGGGTAGCTAGCGGGAAATGAGGGTAGTGGAGACACTTAACTGCCCGTCGCAAGGCGATGCTTAAGTACGGTAAGTATGACCCTGAATCAACGATGGTGCATATGTCCAGGAGGTACATAATTGGGCGCGCGCTGGACGCTGGCAATCATTGGGTGATCAACTAGAACCGCACTCCCATCCGACCAAGCTCGTTCTGGGGAAAACGGTGCCCCGAGTGCAGAACTAGGCGTCATCCGAATCACCGCACGGGGAATGGGGAGGCGCGCCAGAGGGATCATATCATACCACACAGTCAGATCCTACTCTCGACGTCAAAACGCGCGCTCCTCTGAAATGACCATGGATGACTCGCCTGCAATCTTCTCCGTGCACCTCTTGCAGACGAAGCGCTCCGCGCGCACCCAGTAATCCGCGCCCCCGCGCGCCCTAGGCCCAATTGTCCAGGGGGTTATCCAGCACCACGAGGACAGACCACGGGTCATCGGCGAGATACGGTAGGCTACCCCGGATCCCATTCTTGGCTGACTTTCTCAACCGTGATCCAGTGGCTCTATCATCTCGGAAACGATGGCTACATGGGGGACGTGGGCCTGCATAAACGCCGCCGCTTTGCCGGCGAGGATTTTGCGGACGGCGGTCGGCGTTGTTCGGAGGACCTCGGGCTCCTCAGATTCGCACCTCCGTGGAATACAAAGGCTGTTTGCTCCTGGGGATTCTCTGAGCGGAGCGTACCGCACGTGAGGGATTAACGGGTCAGTTCAAAATGATTGTCAAATACCTCTGCATCTACAGTAGCTATAACAGATCTGAATAGACAGTCTTCTTCGGAAATGAGCTGCAGAATCGACTATCGGAAAAATTCGAGGGTTTGTTCATCCATGGGGGTGCCTTGAATATATTACCTCCGAGACCACCAATTAGGTAGTACCGGGTCGAGTGTCTGTTACCATATCTACACATACACACTCGCAATTCGGAGGCACCCAAAGTCTTCATTGACTATTGGAATGAAGAATGAGAGCACTCCAGGTCATCTGTGGCAGCGGTTGTGGAGGAACAAGGGAGAGGAGACCCGAGAACAGCCCGAAACGGCAATTTGGGCAGGCATCGGCAAGAATCATCCCATTTCTCGTCTATAACTTGCCGTATCATGCTAAGAATCTGGATCTGATAGCGGCAGATGCTACCCAAAACATTGCACGAGTCAGATTTCCCATAATCTTTACTGTTCGGGGGAAATAATTGTTTGACCCGTTACCCCGTCTGACCCGTTAGCCCCTCACGTGTAGTACACCACCATTCGGGTCTTTTATTTCTAAAATATTTGGCCCGAATACTTCTGAGATATCATGTGAAATATGCTGAAAATATTAATAGAGACATTCTGAACACATTTGCCACACAACATTCCCAGAATGTTTGACCAAGGTTATAAAAATATTCCGCACATATATATTTATGGCCCAGTGTCCACACAAAATTAGCCCACAGCCTTTCGGTCTTAATCTGAACATGCTTCGGCATGTTCTGAGTAAAAGAAACTTGAACGTTACAGTGGTTGCGTCGGCGTTGAGTCCCTGCAAAGTAATTATCTGGTTTTGCACTGTAAGTTGAAGCAAAACACCAATTTTTCCAGAATCATGAAGCATGAACCCGGGAACATATGCTATTCAGAGATGTGGTCTGCTTGCTGGTGCTCAAGGTGCTGGCAAACGAGTGCGAGAAATTCGGATCAAAGGTCCGTGCGCGGTTGTTTGTGCGAGCATCGTCGATCATGTGCGTGTTGGCTGGCACACTTTTTCTCGCTTTTCCTTTCCCCACCCCACCACTTGTCCGCCAACCTCCTCACACACACCCGCAGCACCCTCCTCCGCCTTTTCTACCACCTCACCACTCCGGGGATCGATCCCGTCTCTGTCGCCCACAACCAACCTGAGCATCCAGCCGCGCATCACCTTTACTGCGTGCATGACCTTTTTAAGGCCATTTGCACGCCGGCGCTGCAACCTATGGCGATGCAGTTCACCCTTGGCATAACCCGCAACTTCTCCTCGGGCGGTCCGATCTTCCAGCAGCTCGTGTACAACATCCATTGTGCCCCCTTCAACATGATATTTCAAGTCGCACCTCAAATCTCAAGGCCTGAAGACCGCCTGGACCTCACAGGATCAAGTATAGACGGGGCCCCCATATATTCAAGTCCCTTCAAAGCCGCACACTGCACAGCACATCCTGGTGCCTCGAATTTCAAGACTCTGGCAACTTTCCCAAGCCCCGGTTTCAATATGGCATCCAACTCGCTCAAGTTTCTGTGCCGCAAGTGTGAACCTTCTTGACTCCCATCACGTCCGTCAAACTGCCGCTGCCGGATATGGCCACAACACCACTGACGGAATGGACTTCCCATCGCACGGCCAACGGTACGTTTCCCTGTCCCTCGTTCCAGCAACTCCGTCTCCGTATTCTTTGCAGCATTCATCCCATCTTACCTCGCCACCCGATATGTCGTGTACTGTATTATGTAGTCTGAAAAATACAATCTTTGACTTGAATGTGACCATTTTGCAATTGTTGTGTCCCAGATTTAGTTGACATCCAGTGCAACACGGTAAAAATGTTAGTTCCAACATCTGAGAAACATTCACTCTCAGAAAAGGCTTGTGGGATTGACGATGTCATATTTTGAGAATGTTCGAGCAAGCTTCGACAAACATTGGTCATGAAATATTTTTAGGACATCTTTTACAAACGGCGGTGTAAGTGCCAAGATACGACCCAGGTGACTCATGTGCGGCTCTATGTCGGCGTTTCCAGTCCCCATTTGGCGGAACCGTTGTCCTGTCAACTGATCTCTTATTAGATCCATGAAGTACGGACCTATCCACGAACCTCGGACTTATTGCACCTTGGCCGGATCACACGCTATTCCGTGGTCGGCTTTTGATGTTGAAAGAGCGGAGACTGAAGATCTTTTGGCCCGCTCAATTCCAAGGACCAAAGAGACTGGGATCCGTGTCGTCATGGAGCGCTTTCTACACGATGTGTTCTGCGCCACTCATCAGATGATGATGTTCATGGTGGGAGCGGCAGCTGTTCACGGTGATGATGGCAATCTACTTCTTTGCATTTAGTGGCGAATATAAAGTCTTCCGTTGGTCGCACCGTGATCCTGTTCCAAAGATGCCCTCGCAACTCACGCCCACTGAAATCCGGCTCGAAAACCTCGTCAAATATTTAACTGTCGCCGTTTCAACACTCAGAGACCTGTCCGACGTGCTTACAACACCTTTCTTGAAGGCGATCTCTAGCACGACCGCGTCTCTGTTGATTTCAGTGCAGGTAAGTACATATATTTTCCGGAGTCTCTTACGGGTCTGATTCAATCGAGCCAACAGAGTATCAAGAGAAACAAGGAGGAGTGTGCGCAATTCCTCGACCACATTCACACGGTGCTTTACGCAATCATTGGCCTGCATGTCAACTCAGGGAACGGAGGGGTCCTTCCCCCCGAGACTTTGAACCATGTCGGAAAATTTATGGAGTGAGTTGAACCCCTCCGCCTTCCGAGTTGATCCTTTAACCGTGTCCAGAACACTTCAAAAAATCCACGTTTTTGTCGATTCCCAACAAGATGGCAGTGCCTTTAAACGTTTCTTTCGTTCGATCGAGACAAATTTACTGCTGAAAGAATGTCACCACGGAATCCAACAGGCTGTCGACGTGTTCAAGGTAAATCATTATGTGCACACACACACCTTGTCTCACCACTTGTGCAGGTTCAAATCGGGACCGACGTACTTCATAGTATTACAGCTGCACAGAGCCATGCACAGAAGGTCCACGAGGAACTGGTCCAACTGATTTCTACCCTGGATGATGACGCGAGCTCAGCTCAGATCTCTTCTGTGGGTACACGCCAACTTGATAGGTTCACTTACTCAGTGATGTTGTCTAGATAAATGGGACATTTTCCAGCTCCCAAAACAGGTGCGAGTCACTGCGGTCCTTGGCTCTGATGTGCTCTGAGTAATTGACGGAAGCTCGACCTCGTTCTCCCTCCTCCCGGCCGAACCAAAGATATTCCACGGGCGGGATTCTGAGCTGACTGAAATCGTGGCATCTCTCGGCCGTGACTCAGCAAGAATAGCGATCCTCGGGACGGGTGGTATCGGAAAAACCAGCCTCGCAAGAGCTGCACTCCACCATCCGCAGATCTCTGCGAGATTCTCACAGCGGTTTTTCGTTCCCTGTGACTCGGCTACATCCAGCAGTGATCTTGTCGCACTGGTTGCATCACATCTAGGCTTAAATGCAGAAAGGGATCCCACAAAATCGATTGTCCGCTACTTCCTTGGGATTCATTCTTGTCTTCTGGTCCTCGACAATTTTGAAACACCTTGGGAGCCGTCGGAGTCCCGCGGCGCAGTGGAAGAGTTTTTATCCGTTCTCAGTGATGTTTCGCACCTTGCATTGATTGTATGGGACAATTTCTCATCGATACTGGTGCTGATACAATGAATTTTAGATCACTCTCCGAGGAGCTGAAAGACCTGGGAAGGTGGC